GAGATGAGAGTTTTTTAGTTTATAGAATTAATTAGAGTAAAAAAAACCCATAGTTAGTAAATGAAAAATCGAGGTTGTACTCGAAATAGAGTAAAAAGGAAAGGAGTTGTGTGTAAATATAAGGGGTGGGTTTTGAACTTAGGGGTTTTTCACAATGTGCAATATAGGATCCACGTTTTTTCTATCCTACTCGTTCTTTATGTTGTGTTCAAAGAAAACGTGCTGTCGAAGTGAACTACTATTATCGTCGGGTCGGGTCACGATGTATATAGTCAGTTATTACCAATGAACCATAAGAATTATAACTATAATGAAATTAAGTTGTATAACCATAGGGACCAAGCTTTTGTTTAAAATAATTTAAAACTATATTAAAGACTATGGGAAATTAATTTTGTTCCCCCAAAACTTGAAATTTAAACAGTAGTACTAGAGAAGGCATGCATTAATGGGGTTGGTTGTGAATTTGAAAGCAGGACACCAACGGCAGTGATATACAAATCTACTGAAGTGAAAACACCAGCTCCACTGGTGGCTTCCTTCTCATCCAGAGGCCCAAACCCAGGCTCCACCCGAATTCTAAAGGTAAAAAATCCAATAACTTTAAACTCTTTTATTACTCTTAATCCTCACAAATCAATACCTAAATATTATTTTTATTAGGAGGAGTGACAGTGAGTCTTTTATGTATTTTAGAATACGTCACCTGTGTTTTAAAATTTTTAAATATGACACAAATTTTCACTTATATTAATAGTATGTTCGATACTCATATCAATATAATAGACACTAAATGTTTATCACAAATATTGCAATTAATATATTAGACACTCATATTATCAGTATATCATATGTATATCTCATTCATATATCGACAATTAGATATATTACAGACATATATTGCAGATGTATATCATTTGAGTAAAGTTATTATTTTAAAATTAGAACTCGGTTTTTTTACTAACTGTTTTTGTCATATTTGTAACTGCTTCTTTTTATTATTTATGCCCGTATACAGCCCGACATTGTAGCTCCAGGAGTGAACATATTGGCCACGTTCACGCCCCTGAAGTCTCTTACGGGTCTGAAGGGAGACACCCAATTCTCCAAATTCACGATCGAGTCCGGCACTTCCATGGCGTGCCCTCACGCCGCCGGAGCGGCAGCCTATGTAAAGTCTTTCCACCCCGATTGGTCTCCTGCCGCCATTAGATCCGCCCTCATCACCACTGGTACGGCGCTGCTTATCTTTTCTCTTACCTTAGAATCACATAAACTAATCAATCCTTCTAGCTTTGCTCTCTTTTTATCTAATTCATTTCCACCTTCATCAGACTCAACTCTTATTTCATACACATGTTCAACCATTTTTAGATGTACCTCCGAGCTCTATTTTCCCTTTAATTACAAGCCTAAAACTTTTGAGAGTTGATCAATTTTGATTCTAATAAGTTCATGATACTTAAAGGAATATTAGTGATGATTCGACACAATTGAGCAAAGCATCGGGTGAGGGAGTCGATTAGTTGAATAAAATAATGGTGGAAGATAAAGAAATGACATGCAACTTAAAAATATATTTCTCTCGCATCTTCCATACTCTTATTTTATCTAGTTAGCCTATTTTCTTATATTGATCCGGCCAAATAATCCCTTGTTTGGTTTGACAATGCGTCATTTTAACATAAACACAGTCTAAAGTTTGTGGATTATTCAATATAAACTTTTTATAATTTATAGAGATAAAATAAGTCAAAGCGAATATGGCTTAACCGTAATTGACGTTTATCTCTAAGTAAAAAGTTGAGAGTTCGAACCACATCCTCACATATTGTACTCAACAAGAAAAAAATAATAGACAAAAGAAAAAAATTATTATGAACTAAATTTAAATAATTTATAATACTCCATTAGATGTGGAAAAATATTAAACTAATTTTATACTAGATTTGTTAGGTTTATTTTATTATGCTCTTTTAAACTTTTATAATTAATGTTTAGTTCCAAAACTTAATTTTATTTTGATTTAAGTTGGTTCAATTCTTTAAAATGTATATTTAGTCATAGAACTTAAAAAGTAATAAGTGAATAACGTGATAATAATTGTTTTCACTTCCAATATGAAGCGACGCCGATCAGTCGACGAATGAACGCAGAAGGAGAATTCGCATACGGTGCTGGAAACCTAAATCCAGAAAGGGCAGTAAATCCAGGCCTAATCTACGATGACGACGAGATGTCCTACGTTAAACTCCTCTGCAGCGAACGGTACAGCCAATCGTCAATTGCCACCCTCACTGGACCCAAGCCCGTAAACTGCGCATCTCTAATGCATGGACTTAGCCACGACTCGCTCAACTATCCAACCATTCAACTTAGTCTCCAAAACACTCGAACCACGACGGTTGCTGAGTTCCAGCGGCAAGTTACCAATGTCGGCCATGCCGTCTCCGTCTACCACGCCATTGTCAGCGCTCCCCCCGGGGTGGAGATCACGGTGTCTCCGACGACTCTGTCCTTCACGCACGTGCTGCAGAAACTTACGTTCAAGGTCGTTGTGGAGGCGGGACCGTTGCCGCCGGGGAAAATGGAGTCTGGATTGCTGACTTGGAAAACTGCCGGCCACGTGGTCAGAAGCCCAATCGTTGTTTACAGTCCCTCCTCGTGAGAACGGACAACATGTAGAAACTGTGTTTGTACATAATGCTTTTATTATTAAGAACTTATATGTTGTGGCATAATTGATGGAAATAGTTATTTTTATTGAGTATTAATCATCTGTCAACAAAAACTTATAATAGTAAAATTGTTGCCATTAAATCCAGTCGTTAATACAGTTTTGTTAACAACACCAAACTATCTAATTTTTTCATAGTATATATATATTTTTTTTTTTCTCTCCTTTTTTGTTTGTTATATCTTTGAGCCTCTTAGCTAGAAGTCTTGGGTCCACTAGTTTGAGATTCGAACTAAGTTTTGGAATCTAAATTTGGCATCTGGTGGTTCCACCTGACTATACCTCCTTGTTGACCTGCGATGATTTCAAAAGCAGGAGTGATTAAACATAGTTAAAAAATCAAATAGAATCGGTCGGTTTTAGAGAACCTACGTTCCGACCTGTCAATCGATCAATCTCCCTGTCCATATAAAAGTCTGATCGACAAACTATTGATTTAACATAAAATTTAATTAAACGAATATATATCACATATATATATATGATTTAAAGTTTCTTTTTCTCCTTTCACACGATTCGTTGAAACAGAATTTCAAGACAGTGGCAACCTTGTCCAAAACCAGATCTCATGATCGCAGTATAGATGATTATTACAAATTTACAGCTAGTATTATCCCGATTTTTCCTCTCTTTGATAGCTTTTCAAACTCTCCTTGCAAGCTATCATTTCTATTCCTGAAATTTGGCTTTACTGCCTTATTTGTCCTATTTAGTGCTTTATTACTTAGTTGTTTTTTCCTTCAATAACACATGTATTTTAGGCATCTTATTCGAGACAAACTCATGGGTCAATTGGACTAGTCATTGATACCACTAGTTCCCTTTTATATATACTAGTTAAAATCACTAGTTAATATCACGTGCAATGCACGCGGTTTTAAATATTTTAATATAATATTTATAACATTTAACATATAGAATGATAACTAACCCAATTTTTAAATTGTACTATTAGTTTTTCAAATAAAATATATTAGTCTTTGTTGATATTTTATATAAAAAATATAGTATTCCAACTAAAAAATAAGACAATAAAATAAGATATGTAGAAAACGATTCATATGATATAAATTTGAAATCATAAATGTGGTTATCAACTTTTAATTAAAAATATTTTTATAAATTTAAAAATAACCAAATCTAAGACATGATACATTAAAACAAATTATGTCACTAAAAATTCAAACAATAAAATTATTTGTTAGATAGTCAAAGTTATAATAGGAATAAATAAAATTGTCCGTTTATTACTCTTAAGCTACTTTTTAAAATTGAAAATTGACAAATCAAATATCATTTTTTAATTTTTAAAATGATAAATATAAAAATAAAATCTCAAATAAGAGAAATTAAAGACTTAAAAACTTGAAATTTGAGAAAGAAACTGAATAATGTGTACTTGAATAATGTATAATGTGTACTTGAATAATGTATAATGTGTACTTGAATAATGTGTGTACTGTCATAATATCATTTAAAATATATGGGATAAAGAATCAAACCACGAAGAAAAATAAAATAAAAACTACACCAATGAAAAATATATATTAAGATAAATAGGAAAGTAATACTAAGTATTACTTTCCTATTTATCTTAATATATTTTAAAACTTGAAAAAAGATTAACTGAATATTAAATTAAACTTGAAAAGAACCTTAACTAAATATTAAAACACGAAGGTATCATGAACATAATATAATTTAAAATAATCTACATAAAATGATTAAAATAATCTTAAAAAAACTAAAAGTTAAAAGATAACAAGAATACATAATTTTATACTTCACCTCTTTAATAGATTAAATAGATTTTTGAATTCAGATATACGTACAAAATTAAAAAATATAATCATAAAATAAGTAGTTAAGATAACAACACTTACCCACATCAATGTAGGAAACAGATACTCAAAATAATCAGGTAGGTACAAAATTAACATCAATTTTAGAAACCCAACAATTAAAATTAATAAATACAATTTTTTTTAAATCTTAGCATTCGTGACCGATGAAGATGGACAGTTTTTCAGCAGATGAAATAAACAAAATCATGGAAACAACTTAGACAAACTTGCAATCTCCTTGGAACAGAGACATTGTATTACAATTGCTATGGTTGAATTGCAAGATCATAAAAAAGAATGTGTTATATGATCAATTTTTCTGTCTATTCTTAAATTTATTTCAACCTGGATCTTCATTTAGAGTTAAATGGGGAATGAAGGAGGAAGATGCTTGTATTTTGGCCATGAAAGTATATTGTCAGGCTTATTCATCTGTTTGGTAAAAAAATATATAAACATAAAATAAAAAATCCAAAAGATCATGAACACAACAATAAATGAGATAAATACAAATATTAAATATAATTTTATAGGGATCCAAAAAAATAATTAAAGAGAAAACAACAATCACTCCATATCGGTTTATAAAAAATAATATGATAACAGTACAATAATTCACATAAATTTATAAAACATAACGCTCAAAATTCGCATCAATTTTTATATTTTACCTCTTCATCGGCTAAAATTAATTTTTGTAGTCACAAATCTTGATTTTGACATACTTCAATATTTCCCCTACGAACAACAAAAACTTTTAATTTCCACAACTCTTGGAAATGTATTAGTTCTTTGATAAAAGAAGAGATTTTCGTAGAAATTTTGGGAGAAAGAACATATGAGTTTTTAATTTAGACTATTTCCTTTTATAAATGGTTTGTAAAAGAAGAACAATCATACCTTTTCAACGTACTGCTTCTCTAAATAGACACTTCATTCAAATAATAGCATCCCGTAGTAGAATTACATGGAAGAATATATAATATTGATGAAGGGTAAACTTGATATATCTATATATGTCTATATATCGTGCAACCATTATCTATCTCTCCCTTCAATCCCATTTCTTTTCATCTCATGTTTGTTTTCCTTCACCATGATTTTCACTGTTTGGTTTTGTTTGAATTTTTTAATAAAATTATTTTTAAAATTGAAGAATCACAATTTTTCATGAAATGATGTGTCTTTTGTAAATATTACGTATTTTTATGAAAAGACATAACTCTACACGAAAAGATATGACTATTTTAGTAACAACAAATAATCTATAAATATGTGGTTTTTTTCATATTTGAATCTTGTATCAAAATTATCCTCCTTTTTCCTATGTACTATTACTTAAGTACTAAAGGTTCGTTGAGTCTTATGTATGAAGCACTGAATTCACAAGTTGGTAAATCCGTCATAACATGAGAGACAATATTTTTTGTGAAATCCTGAACACCATAGAGGAAATAAAATTATCTTAATGAAACAATGTTATTGTTGCATTTGGATTGTTTGATTTTTTATTTCCTTAATTTCTCTGCATATTTTTCTCCAACAATTTTAACATAATTTTACTATATTTCGATTTTGTTTTCTCAATATTGATTTGGTATATTCTGTTTTGGTTACCATTCCTGTGGCACTGTGATTGGTATTAGTATTTTTTTTCTCTCTTTCCGGATACTATTCCGTCTAT